CCTCAAAACACAAATAGACTATTTTTTGCTGAATCCCATTTGAGTCATTAGCTCAAAAGCCTCCCGCAAAGTTGCTAGGCCAAAAAAACTAATTCAAACACATTATGTGGTTAAAACCTAACTAATTGCTAAACCTAATTTTACCTAAAATAAAATCAGGCAGATGAGGGGCTTGTTTGGTGGTGGTTCACGGTGATGGGAGATGATTTGAGTGGGAGGTGATTTGTGTTGTGGTTCAAAGGTGGGGTTGGTATTCAAAGTATTTTTTTAAAATTTTTTAGCTTTGGAATATTTAAATAAGAAATAACATGAAACATCCAATTTCAACCAATATTACAAGAGTAACAAATATTATAAGATAAAAAAATATTATAAGAGCAACAAATACTATAATAGTAACAAATATTATCATAGCAACAAATATTACACTAACAATCAATGAGAAATCTTCACCATTGATTTTGAGGGGACAAAATAATATATTATTAATAAATAATAAATAAATATAAAAAGATAAAAAATATAAAGGGATGAGAGGTCAAATTTGTAAATATAGTATATTTAATAATCAGGAGACGAAAATCATAAATAATAATATAAGTTAAAATTTTGAGAATAATCATTAAATTAAGTTAAGACCAAAATCATAAACATTAGAATGTAAGTTATACAACTTTTAGGATGTTATGATTCTCTCATATTTTATAAAGATCTGCCACTGAAAACAACCAATGCCACAAAAAATTACATTAAAAAAAAAAAAAAACCAACACATATTATAAAAATAACAAATATTATAATAACATCAAATGCCAATAGATATTATAAGAGTGACATGGGTTGCACGAACCATAAATGTCAACAAATATTATATTATAAGGAGTACTAGGAGGAGTCAAGTTTACCTCTTTATAGATTTTCTTTGATTTCTGTTGAATTAATTTCTTCTAAATGTGTTATTTATTGTTATGGGTTCATGTTGTTTTGGACTTGTGTTTCTATTTTTTTTGTTTTGGTTATGTGTCTCTTACTTGGTTGAGGTTTTTCCTCTTTCAATTTATATAAGAACTCTTACCTAAATTCAATTTCTGTGGTAGTGTAGTGTTGTTATAACAGAGTATTGTTGGTGGCTATAGGATTGATGACAGTAGTAGAGGAATTTTTTTTTTTTTTAAATACTTTTGGTATTATTTGAAACTTTTAATTTATTAATTTATTATTATTATTATTTTAAAAAAATGTAGTATTTATAATTGTCTTTATTTTTACATGGTGGAGAATCTTTTGGTCCAATGTTAAAGTACTCCAAAACTGTATGATCCAAGCTTAAGTATTTCTTGGTGCATCGCTTGCTATTATATTGGATGTTTTAAGCGGATCTTGATTATTAATTTTGGAATAAATAATATATTATTAATAAATAATAAATAAATATAAAAAATAAAAAAGAAAAGAGATTAATATATATATATATATATATATATATATATATATATATATATATATATATATATTTTACTGCATACACAGTTATATGTCTACGGTACACATTTTCGTATATCTATAAAATGAAGGATACAGTTTTCAAAATTATCTATATTGTGATTAGTGATAGATAACAATATTTTACGTAACAGTCGGGGCTTTAAAAAGAAAAAGTAAGGTAGGTTTTAAAAATGTGGGAATATAAGTAACTTGTATTTTAAAAGGATGACAAAACGGACCAATCTGTCCGCTTTGATTCGTCTCGCCTTGGACCCACTAAAAGCAGTGCGGGCGGGGTGGATCGACACGTTATAGGGGTTGTAGACCTTGGTTCACCTCGCCAAGGGGCGGATTGACGAGCTAATCCGCTATAGTTTAGAAAAAAATAATTTATTTTTTAAAATAATTTTTTTAAATAAATTTAATAATAAAATTTTTATTTGTTTGTCAATAATTTAATATATATATATATTTATATATTATTTTAATTTAATAATATAAATAAATACATTGTTTTAATAAATTATAATTTAGAACAATAATAAAATTTACATAATAATAAATAATAACAAAATATATATATATATATATATATATATATATATAAATAAGGTTAAAACTTATAAAATTTATATTTTTTATATTGAAAAATTGAAATACCTATATCTTTTTTATTTGATAAAACTTCACATTATTCTTGGTTGAGTAATTCTTACACCTTTAATTCAAGTTATATGGATAAAAATAATATTTTTTGTGAGAGTGAAACTTTTTTAATTCTCTTTTTTAAATTTGTAACTTTATATGTTATCTTTATAATTAATTTTATTACAATAAAAAATTATTTTTTTATTAATTAAGCGGCCGCGAGCTGGCCCGCCCCGTCTCACGGGTTGGCCGGACGGGTTGACGAGTTTGGCGAGACGGGCCAAAGCGGGCTGAGTGGCTGAAAACACCAACCCGCCCCCATATTATGGCGAGCTAGCGGATCGACTCGTCGGGCTCGACTCGTTTTGTCATCCCTAATTTCAAAACATAAGTTGTATTCATAGTTGTGTTTTAAAACACAACTTTGTATTTATTTATTTATTTATTTATTTATTTTAATTTAAAACAAAAAGATTATGTTTTGTTTTTATGAAAAAAAAGTGTTTAAAACCTTTTTTTTTCACATTTTTGTTGTTGTTAATATAAATAAACATTTTGTTTTCTTTTTCATAAAAAATGCCGATTTTTTTGCTTTAAATTTATTCGCTTTGCAACTAACGGTGATACAAGTTTGTGGCTGGTTTTTGGCTATCATAACATAAATTGTAATTTAATAATAAAAAGAAAATAAAAAATAAAAAAGATTTAATACAATATGTTATTAGCAAATCTACAAATATATCCAAAGAACAAAATTGAAAAATATAAGAATTCTCAAGGAAAAAAAAAATGATAATATCATCAACCTTGGTGGCACTAATGCCCTTATATATCAACATATATACTTATAAAGGCCAAAAGAAAATGGGAGGAAGCCAATTGGCTTGAAATAGTCTAAAATGACGTAGAGAATTGGTTGGGTGCGTGCAAAATCGGTTGCTTCTTTCTTCAACGACGTCGCTTTCAAGATTCTCTCTCTCTTCGAGGCCGTTTATCTCATTCTCACCACTGCCTTCTTCTACCTCATCTGTGGCTGCCGCTTCTGACTTTTCTGTAATCTCTCTCTCTTCCACTTCTCTAATCAACTTCTTTCTCAATCTCTCACATTCATGGATCCTTCCACTCTAACTCTTTCTTATTTTTTTAACATATACTCATATTTTGTGGCCCTGTTCCATTCTACAATCTCATTCCTCACTGGAATAGGAGACAAAAAGAAAAACCCTAAACATCTTCACAACTTGATCATAATAAAGTTTTTTTTTTCCAACTACTACTTTAAAAGTATACGATGGCTCATTCCTCCCATACCCAACAACATTAGGTTGTTAAAAAAAAAGTAAATTTTAACAATGTATTATGCTTATTGTTAATCTAATCTTAAAAAAAAAAAACTAAAACAATAAAAAATGATAGAAAGATAAATGTCAAATTGTGGGATAATAGGTTGGTTAACTTTTTTTTTTCAATAGTTTACATTAAGTAAAATACATAATAAGTGGTTCAAACATATTGCTTTAAATGATACATTTATTTGTTTTGCTTCTTCAATTTTTTACAAGAAAGTCCAACATCATTTTAATAATAGGTTGCTTCTTCAACCTATTATCGAAAAAACAAGGATCAAGAAAATTTAATTTCATTGTACCTTTGTTTTCTTGTATTTTAATGTTTGAATTTATATTGAAAATCCATATTGGTGATCAAGAAAACTTTATAAATATTTTTATAAAATTAATATATGAAAGATTTTTGATAAAGATTGACTGTCGAGTAGAATTTCAGGATAAAAAATAATTATATTCTAATACATTCAAAATATATTGTAGAGTCTGGGTGGCTTAACACCCTCCATATGTACATAGCCAGTACATAATAAAGACAACGTATTCTTCGTCAGAAACGACGATGTATGGATTATCAACGAAACGTTCTTGAAGGAAGTAGCTATAGGCTTTTCTGTTCCATCGGATTTTGGCCTCGAGTTCTTTGTTAGTAGAGAAGGTTGTTATAAAATATTTTTCTTTGACAGATTTGAGACCTGTAATGGCCCTGACGTCGAGAAGAATGAGGGCTCAGAAGAGTGAGGGCAATTGAGCCACTAGGAAGCTCCATTGTGCTAAGGTCTTTACACAAAATAAAGAACGACTATCGTAAACAAAAAAATCATCAAACACCATTCCAACAGTGATATATTACAAAATACCAAGACATTTTGCAGAAGCTCAAAGTACCAATTAACACACAAAGTACACATGTTTGATCCCATCGAATGGAACTGAGTGGAACAAACACTTTTACAGAGGAAGCCAAAAAGTTTTGCATACTGTAAATAGAGCTTAGGATTCACGTGGCCAAAGTCCTCTTGTCACAAGATGACTAATGTCTTAAATTCTACACAGCATAAAGATCCTGCAGAAAACAAAAGTATTCATGACACTCACAACAATAAAACAATTACAAAAACTATATAAGCCTTAGTTGAAAGGCCTCTATATTCCTTCATTAAATTTTATTCTAAAGATTTTATATCATTTAATATTAGAGTTTTATTAGAGAGTCATGAAAAATGGTAGACCTTTCTATTTTCTGTCAGGCGCCATGTTGACCTAGTCTCTTCTCAGAGGAAGATCAACTAAGATAGAAAACAAGGGTGATTAATCATTGTTGGTCATAGCAAGGACTAATCTCAAAAATTTCAATGATCATATGCTCGTGAAAGTATTCATTAATATATACGAAAAATTAGTTCCTAAAAGTTTGGGGTCTGCTTCTTACCTACTGATAATAGGTTGGCTTAGTTTGAACCGGTATTAATAGTGGCACCTTTGAAACTCTGGGACCCTGCTCCGTGGTTGTTGAAGGAACTACGAGTTCCAGTGGATGTCACTGCTTGTTGTTGGCGATCCAGGAGAGGATGGGGATTCCACTTTTACACCGTTAATCCTTGCATCCTGGAAGTTTTGTGGGCCACCTCCGCCATGGTAAACCACCGTATCATTAGATCCAGTGCTGTTATAAATACAAGCACATGAATCGCTCTTAATATTTGAATCTTCGAAATTTTGTGGCCCCGTTCCAAAGTTCTTGAAGGAGCCACCGCCGGAAAGGCTCTCCATAACGTGACAAGTTGTGGGATTAGCAATACTGATCTCGTTCCCTCAGTGGAAAAGAAAACAAAGGAGAGAAAAAGAAAAACCCTAAACGATCAACTTTACAACTTAATACAGTTTTTAACTACCACTTTAAAAGTATACGTAGTAGCAGGTAGAATGACTAATTCCTCCCATACCATACATTAGGGTGTTAAAAATATTAAACTAATTATAAAAAAATATAGTTAGTTGACTAGACTGTAAAAGAATTTTGGATCTTCTTCTCGATACAATGAACAGAAGCATCTTATGTAGTAAATTTTTGATAATGTATTATGCTTATTATAATCTAGTCGTTAAAATACAAATAAACTAAAACAATAAAAAATAATAGAATGATAATTATGTAATAGTTGGATTATAGGTGGGTTGGCTTTTATTTCAATAAGTAAAAAGAATAATAAATGGTCAAAATATATTGGTTTAAATGACACAATTATTTGTTTTTTTTAAATGACCTGAAATTAGTCAAAAAAAAAAAAAAAAAACTTTTCTTTTGATTCTTTAAAAAACAATATATAGAAATTAGTCCTAAAAATGGTATATTTTCTTTGTCTCCTCTGACCTTACATAAGAATACATCAAACGATTAAATTAATTTAATATTTTAAAAAAATAGTTTAGTTGAAAAAAGTATAATGCAATTAATTAAACAGAAAATAGTACAAAGTAACGCTTTGTTCAATTTATTGATTTTTTTTTTAAGTTTAATTGAATTTGGAAAGCTTTCAATTTTATAGTATTCTTCTAACAAGTAGCTTACGAACAAAGGAAAAGAGACGGTGAGAAAAACAATTTGGCGAAGAGAAAATAGAGTGATACTGGGTTCAATCTCTTGGACGAAAACAGTTAACTTGAAGAAGTAGAGTAGTAGTGAAACATGCGCACAAAAGCAAGTAGAAACAGGGAGAGTAAGGAGAGAGAGCACAAGGAAGTAATATTATTGAAAAAACAAAAAATATGTTATTATAAGGTAATAGAGAGTTAAGATATGTACAGGTGATGAGAGAAACAAAGGGTAACGAAAGCTCAAGTTTAACAAAAGATCAAGGTCAGAGTTGCCCATAAATAAAAATTAAGTACTAATGACCAAGTTGATGAACTAGGGACCGAACATAATTAGTCGAATTGGTTAAAGATCATTGTCAAAAGTCACTAATGATTTTATAATTATGAGAGTCCTCTTAAACTTGGAATGGATGTTTAAGATGTCTAGTTTAAAACAAAGAGAATTAAATATGGAAGGAGACACAACTTTGGTCATAACGTTAACTTGTTGAAGACTAGTACTGATTAGGAGAATTTTAATTCTTGGCTAAGTTTTTCATGAACAATATAACAATGGATCTTCATGTATTTGGTTAATTCATGAAAGACTTGATTAAAGTCTATATCACAATTTAAAAGGGTGAGTTTGTGATAAGGTAACTTTAAATTATCTATTAGAAAATATAACGATTGAATTTGACTCACATGTTATAGAGGCTAAAACACCATATTTGACTCCTAAAGAGTTTTGAGAAATGATAATTTGTTTCTTCAAAAGCCAAGAGATGAGAGAGTGTTCGAGATATATAATGTATCTAGTAACAAATCGACAAGAGTGTGAGCATCACTACAAAAAAAATCTATTATCTACAAAATATTACATATGGATAAAAATCCGTATGTAAATTATCCATTACCTACGGATAATGTCCGTAGGTAAATTATATCAAATTAAAAAAATTGTGACTAACAGGATTCAAACTCAATACTTTAGAGTTGAAGATCGATACTCAAACCACTAAATTATTAAGATTTTTTGATAATAACTTACAAATAAATTATATTTATTTACAAATAAATGTATATCCATGTAAACATATAAATATATAAATATATAAACATATAAATATATAAACATATAAATTTATATATTTACACGGATAAATATAAATATAATTTATTTATAAGTTATTATCAGAATAACCTAATAACTTAGTGGTTGGAGTATCAGTCTCTAACTCTAAAGTAATGAGTTTGATTCCTGTAATCCGATAAGGAGAGGGAGTTCTAGGTAATAATAAAAAGTAGTCCGTAGGTAAAATGACATTACTTATGGATTTTTACCATTACCTACGGATTTTTGTCCTTAGAATATGCTTTTTTTTTTGTAGTGCATCTAGTCCGATCAAATCACTAACAACTTTATGGTGTAAAACATTATTGGCTTTTCTTGAGGTAATGTAAAATTTGAAGGGAGGCTTGTTGGTGAGAGGAGTAAGGACATTGGCTAAGATGACGAATGACATGAGTGATACGATCTAGAGTATTAGTGAGTTATATAAGTTGTTTCGATAAGGAGTTGGATTAGTGACTAGTTCACCAAAGTATGAGGATATATGTGTAGAGAAGTTCATTGGTGTAAATACAGGAGTTCAACTGAGCATTCATAAATAACATAATAAATCTAAAACATATTTTATTTGACAAAGGTGTATTCCAATGTTGTTCCTTGCTTCCTCTGGGCTAAGAAAATAGGTAAGATTTTCCATGCTCTTTAATTTAAAAAGCATCATCGAGTAGATTAGTAATCGAGTTTATCTCATTCATGTCATTTCCAGTTAAAAAATGTTATCATCAGCATAAATAAGCAAAACAGTTGTACTAGAAGAATGAATTTAAAAAATAAAAGAGTGGTCAATAGAAGCTTGAGTAAAACTATGCATTGTAAGAAAATGGGAGAGTTTTTTAATATTATTATCGACTAGCTTGTTTAAGTCCATAAAGGGACTTATGGTGATAACAAACCTTGTTAGGTTTCTCATTGTGCAAGCCTGATGAAAGCTTCATTTATACTTTCTCATGTAGGTCGCCATGGACAAAGGCATTATCGACGTTGAGTGTTTTAAGTGTTAGTTGCTACTTGATGACTTTGACACCTGTAATGGAGGAAATAGACTTAGGAGCTATTTTAGCTCGTCCACAATTTACATTTGCATTTGCATAATATGAATTCTCCACATTGAGGACAATGTTGACTTCAAAAGTAAGGAGTATTTGCATGAAGTTACATCATATTTTGTTTTAACTATTGTGTAATGTGTACATTGATGGGTAATTACTTTGGAAGAGATGACTAACTTGATCAAGAGGAAGAATTCAAAGTTTAAAATGTTTGATTCACGTAAGAAACCATTGTTGGGTTATATTAACATTTGTTTTGATCAATTTATGGTTGAGAAAAACATCTAGGTGAATTTTGAGTCTTATTCCTTCTTATGTGTACCACTTATGACACATAAACCTTTGAGAACTTGATTAATTTTTCTTTGATACTAGTCGGACATTTACACAGACTTGTAAAGACTTTCTATGTCGATTGTAGAATCGACATAGATCCAAACGATAGAACAAATATAATTTTCTATATCGATTATTAAATAACCGACATAGTAAACCGATATAGATTCAAACAATAGAACAAATATAATTTTTTATGTTGGTTATTAAATAACCGACATAGTAAGTAATTACTATGTCGGTTCTTAACATAACCGTCATAAAATTCTTGTGTTAGATATTTTTTATAGTCATATTTCTCACAAATTAATATTTTATCAAACAGTTTGAATGTAACAAATTTCAAAAATTAAACACAAACATTATCCACATATGAAAACACAACTGAATATATAATGTAAATATATTTACTTAAATTGGATGAAAAATTATTCATAAAAGAAAAAGTTCATAATAATAATTGCATTATAATAGATTAGATAACTCAATTAAACTAAATTAGGAAATATTAACTAATATTGAAAAATGAGATAATACTTCCATATTTTACCTTTATTGTAAATTAGGAAGAAACAAGATTGTGGGAAGTGATGATTCAAACATGAAGAAAACAAAAGTAAATGAATATGATGAGGAGACAATGAAACAAAAGAAAGAAGAAATTGAGTAGAGTTCTTCGTGAAAAAAATGCAAAATGAGAAAGATGAAAAAGATAAAACAAAGTTGAATATTTTTTAATTTTGACATTTTTTATGACGAAATTTTAATTGTTATAGTAAAAATTTTCTATATCGATTATTAAGTTGTTTAGAACTTTTATTTTATTCCAATATTCTATTTACTTCATTTTGGATTTTAATTTATTAATAGTCCGATTCCAAATTTAGTGTAGTGTTTTCGATTCTAATTTGCAACTTAAATTAAGGTTGATTTCTTGTGACCTTTTAAATTTAATTACTACACTCTCTTATTTTTATTGAAAGAAATGTTTGATTTTGCACTTTATTCCGAAAAGTTTTGAATTTAATAAAAAATATTCAGTTTCATTTTTATAAATTTCAATTATTTAAATTTTTATTATGCTGATTTAATTTAATTTTCGTTATTATTTTACTATAATTTAATTTTAATTTTTTGTTATTTTACTTTCATTTATTTTTTGCTCTTTCGTTTGATTATATTGTCGTAAATTATATTTTTTTTTCTTGTTGGCCTTGTCTAAGAGGTTAGACTTAGGAAGTTTGAACAATAGTAAATTGGACTGTGACTAAAATTGGATTGGTGTAGAAAGCTGCCATTGAAATTGTAATATAAATTAGGACATTTAGTCCTCAAACAATCATTAACTATGGTCGAAATATCATACCTCGAGGTTTTGGAACCATAAGACAGTCTTATATCTTATATAATTAGAGTATGAAGACTTGGGCTTTAGGGTCATTTTAATTTAAATGGTTAGGTATTGAGTTGAGTATAATAATTTGGTTTACGCGTTGGTGGGGAACATCTTAATTATGGGTGTTGAGGGCACTACGAATATATATATATATATATATATATATATATATATATATATATATATATATATATATATATATATATATATATATATATATATATATATATATATATATATATATATATATATATATACCTATAAAGATCGAAAGAAGATGGGA